CTTTCCCAAATGACGCCGAGGAAAGGATAGTCCACTTGGTGGTAGCGAGAGATAATTTGTTGCGCCTGTTTGAGGTGAGGCGACAACGACGGACTGAAAACCTAATTCCTAGTGATGAAGAACCGCATTCAAGCACCGGGATTTCTCATTCTACTCGTCTCTATCTCATACGGCAACAATCCCTATATGGTATCGTTACAGGCCTTGCCTCCGTCAAAACCCTTGCCACCGAAGTCGATGGCTGTGATAGGTTACTGATCTCATTCAAGGATGCCAAGGTGAGCCTGTTTTGACCCATTTAATGATACTTTTACCGATCATAGCATCTTGTCATGACAGCTTGCTCTTTTAGAGTGGTCGAGCGCATTGTATGATATATCGACAGTATCAATACACTCTTATGAACGTATTTCCTCGTCTCTGAGCTTTGGTTCTACAACGTCGCGTGCATATTTACGAACTGATCCGGGACAACGATGTGCAGCACTGTGTATACCCAAAGATCTGATTGCCATCCTTCCCTGGTATCAAACACAAGTTGAAATTGACTCAAGTGATTTGGACCAAGCCAGCTCGCGGTATTATAATTTAGTCTACAGGAGATACCCTAATTGATGCTAATCCCGTTAGTGACCTGCCATACTCACCTAGTTTTGTTCTGGGATATAATGAGATCGACGAACATATCCGAAACGTCGTCGATGTCGTCTTTTTGCCGGGATTCAACACTCCAACAGTTGCTATTCTCTTTCAGCCTGGGCAAACCTGGACCGGGTACGTGGAAATTTATTACCACATGAGTCTTCTAAGCCACATATAGTCGACTAAAGGAGACCAAGGACAATACCTGCTTGTTCGTGGTGTCACTCGATATAGTGACGCGATCTTATCAGGTTATTATGACGGTCGAACGACTCCCATACGATTCCCTATACCTAGTCCCTTGTCCACATTACGTTGGTGGAGTGATTTTGGTCTCGGGAAACTCACTGATTCACGTTGACCATGCCTCGAAAACCGTTATTCTTCCGGTGAGCGGATGGGCTCATCGCATCACAGATGTGCCGTTAGGTCCCGCGGATCCATTCGAAGATATATCTTTAGAAGGAAGTCGAGCCGTATTCATTGATGATATCACTCTTCTTATCGTATTGGAGACAGGGACCGTCCGTACCCTCCGAATACAACATGAGGGTCGTCTGGTGAGAGCCCTTGCTCTCCAGGCACCCATAGGTATTCTACCTCCTCCTTCTGCAGTGATATCGTCACATAGCTTGGTATTTGTGGCTAGCTCATCGGCGCAGTCGGTTCTTTTACAAGTCGACATTCCAACCCCCAAAAACCCACCCACAGATGATATGGAGCCTGAGCAAACGTCTGGAATAGGTATGTACGTCAGTTGCTGGTTTTCCTCTGAGAAGATAACAGAAATTTATAAACAGATCTCCTTGAGATAGAAAGCCCAGTGGTTACATCTATCCCAGCTTTTAATGAGGACTCACAGGCTTTACCCTCGTTACTCCCTCAAGATAGCTTGGAGGACCCTGGTGTCTTGACAGGTGCTTGCTTTACATTGAAAAAAGTGAGTCCTTATACACCATCGAGGTACCAAGAACTCAACAGATCTCAGGGATCGAGTGAGCCCTCACTAATGACTACGAGTGGACTTGGAATATTGGGGGGATTCTCTCTGTT